GCCTCGATGCGCACCCAGGATCCGAACCCGGGCCACCAGCATTGCAGCACGCGCACTTAACCACCAAACCACAGGGCCGGCCCTATAAATACATATATACACACATCCTATTGGTTCTGTTTCTCTGAAGAACTCTCATACAGGGACCATACAGCGTCTGTCACCAGTTACTCAACCCTGCCGCTGCAGTGAGGAAGCAGCCATAGACAATACGTAAACAAATACATGTGGCTATGTTTTATTTATTTTACTTATTTGCAAAAACAAGCAGTAGGCTGGATTAGGCCCACAGGGTTTGCTGAACCTCCTGTCTCCTGACAAGTAAGTATAGTACCTGGCTTGGAGAAGGCACTTTGAGTTATGAAATGTCACTTAAAAGATCTGTAGAATGAAAGTGAACAAATGACTCACTGAGACTGAGAAGTCCACTAGCTGCCTATAAGGCAGGCCAGCCTGAGGGTAGCAGGAGAGGCAGCAGAAGACGGGAATTTTTCCACTATCTTTGATTGCTGTTGTCCTGACAGTGGTCTGACAAGGGTATCTGGCTCAAAGATAATTCATCTGGCATCTCAGGGAATCCACCCGAGGGAGGAAAGAAAAGCTGTGGGGAAGACGCTATGCCCTATCCCTTCGCCAACCTGTCTCAGTGGGACAGTGCAGCCTTAGATGCAATCTCTGACAACACCCAGGAATTAGCTGGAGGCGGCAGTATAAGAACTAGGATTTATTTTACAAGAAGAAGCTTCCGGGAGCCACACTGGTGGGCCCAGGAGAGGCCCTGGCAGCAAAGGCCTGCAAAAGGCCACACACAGCGGTCCACGGTGGGGACAGTGGCACCTGTGCCAGCTCCCAGGCCCATGGCCACGCTTGGGAAAGGGCCCAGAGCAAGCCCAGGCCGTGCCTGCAGAGGAGCTGCTCACGCTGACCCCGAGGAAGGGCCATGACACAAACCCTGCTTGTTGCACACGGGACACCCTCAGGCGCTGGTCCTCCAGGGCTGACAGCTCCTGGATACACAGTGGCAGCGCAGAGAAAGCGCCTGTCACACGTACTCCCCACAGTCGGAGATGATCACCTTCTGCTTTGGCTTCCCGTCCTTGCTGCCCTGGGCCTTTGTGGGTGGAACAGAAGAGGAGGAGCAATTAGGGGAGGGAGGGTGGAGGGGAAGGAGCGTCTCAGGGATACCCACCCCGCCCCCCACTCCCAGCCTGAGCAGAAGCCACCGGGGCCCCTCTCTCCAGGCCAGAGTGTCTTGCCAGCTCTCCCGCACGGCTGTGTGCCAAGGGCCCAGGTGGCCACCCACCTCAATCTGCCGCAAGACATCCAGGCCTTCCGTGACCTCTCCAAACACCACGTGCTTGCCATCCAGCCAATCCGTCTTGTCACACGTCAGGAAGAACTGGGAGCCGTTGGTGTTTGGGCCGGAGTTGGCCATGGAGAGCAGGCCTGGGGGAGAGAACAAGCACATCAACTCCCTCCACCCTGGCTCCCAGCCCTCAGAGGACATCTGCCTAGAAGATGCAGTGGTGTAAATGCTGCCAGGAGGTGGAGTAAGATGAGGGCTGAGAACTGGCGGTTGGCCTCCTTGATGAGTGGTTTCAGTGGAGAGGTGGGGTTAGAAGGGGAGAGAGAGAACAGAAGGCAGGGAGTCTACATAACTTTTTCAAGAAGTTTTGCTTAAAAAGAGGACCAGAGGCATGGATGATAGCTAGAGGGGGACATGAATCAAAGGATGATTTTTTTTGAAGACTGATACTGCATGCTGATGGGCTGATCCAGCAGAGCAGGGGAAATGGATTACACAAGGCAGTGGGGGGACAACTGCAGAAGCCAAGTTCCTAAGGAGTGGAGAGGGGTCCAGGCCACAAGCACAGGGGCTGGCTTCAGGGTAGACCGCTCATCCCATCTACTCGGAGGGAAGTCAGAGCAGGCAGGCGTGGAGAGATGCAGGAGGCCAAGCATCAGCTGAGGCGGAGAGCGATGTGGAGGCTTTGGGAGTGCAGGAAAGTATGGAACTGTCATCTCTGCCTGGGACCGAGCATTTATTAACTAGGGAAATCCAGGGAGGCTGCCGAGGACCCCTGAAGAACCGTGTCAGATTTCAACTGGACCAGTCAGTACCATTGTGTGTTTTTCTCTAGTTGCTGGGGAACAACCACTGAGATTTTTTACTGGGTAAGTCTGACAGAGAGCGGGGAGCAGTGGGGTTGAGGGAATAAGAGAGAGCTTACAGTGGCAGACGCAGAATCTAAGCTGGGTTAATAGGAGTGTGGACGCGGTGCGGGGACGGACAGTATATGTGGAAGCACGCTCCTCCACTATAGCCAGGCTGAGCACTTCTCCTCTGTTCATGAGTCTCCTCCAGACCCCCAAGCCCTCAGCCGGAACCACAGCCCCTCATTCCACCCAGCACAGCCATCCTGCCCCATCCCAGCCCCACTCATCACCACCCACCCGTCGGTCCCACCTGGTCCCGTGTGTTTGAGGATAAAGTTTTCGTCATCAAACTTCTTCCCGTAGATGGACTTGCCCCCGGTGCCATTGTGGTTTGTGAAATCGCCGCCCTGGCACATGAACTGGGGGATGATGCGGTGGAAGCTGCTCCCCTTGAAGCCAAAGCCCTTCTCGTGGGTGCACAGGCAACGGAAGTTCTCTGGGGTTGAGACAGGAAAACGTGCTCAGGTTAAACAAAACAAAACACACCTCCCTCTAACGAGACTCTAACCATGTTATATTTGTCTAATGTTTATATTTTCATTTTAAACCTCTGATATTGACATCTTGAAGGACTAGAGGGGATTCTGGTTAAAGAAGGAGCAGTGAAAACATGTATTCTAGCTCTGCTCCACACTAGATTGGTGGTAAAGCGATTTTTTAAAAGAAAAACCAAATGGGATCTTAGAAGAAAACACAGGGGCAAATCTTTGTGACTCTGAATTTGGCAACAGTTTCTTAAATATGACACCTAAAGCATGGGTAACAAAAGAAAAAACAGATAAATAAATTATTTCATCAAAATTAAAAACTTTTGTGCATCAAAGGACACTCAACAGAGCGAAAAGGCAACCCACAGAATAGGAGAAAATACGCGCAAATCATATATCTGATAAAGGTTTAACATCCAGAATATATAATGAACTCCTACAACTCAACAACAAATAGCGAAACAACCCAGATAATAAATGAGCAAAAGACTTGAATAGACATTTCTCTAAAGAAAATATACAAATGGCCCATAAGCACATGAAAAGATGCTCAACGTGATTAGTCAGTAGGAAAATGCAAATCAAAACCACAGTGAGATCCCACTTCACATCTACTAGTATGGCTATAATAAACAGAAAAAAACAAATGTTGGCGAGGATATGGAGAAATTGGAGCCCTCATACATTGCTGGTGGGAATGTAAAATGGTGCAGCCGCTGTAGAAAAGAGTTTGGCCATTCCACAAAAAGTTAAACAGAATTACTGTATGACCCAGCATTTCCACTCCTAGGTATACAGCTAAAAGAACTGAAAACAGGGATTTAAACACATATTTGTACATGAATGTTCATAGCAGCAGTATTCACAATAGCCAGTAGGTGGAAATAACACACAAGTGTCTACCAACAAATGAGTGGATTAACAAAATATGGACTATCCATACAATGGAATATTATTCAGCCATAAAAATGAATGAAGCATTGATACACACGTGCTACAACATATATGACCCTTGAAAACGTGATGCTAAGTGAAATAAGCCAGACACAAAAGGACAACTATTGTATGATTCCATTTATACGAAATATCTAGAATATGCAAATCCAGGGAGACAGAAAGTAGATTAGAAGTTACCAGGGGCTGGGGGGAGAGAAGAATGGGGAGTTATTGTTTAATGGGTAGAGCTTCTATTTGGGGTGATGAAAAAATTTTGAAAACAGATGGTGGTGATGGTTGTACAATATTGTGAATACAATTAATATCACTGAATTGAACACCTAAAAATCGATAAAATGACAAAAGAAAAAAAACAGGAGAGAGAAGAAACAACAGCAACAAAAAATTTCTGAAAGCTAGAAAACAAACAGATGAAACATAACTGATAGAGCAGACCTAAGAAAGCTGAATCTTATTGCCTGTAAAGCCAAGAAGCAACTCGATTTATGTTGCAGAAACACCAGAATCTCACATACAAGGGTGAAAGCAGATCTAAAAACAGTTAAGTCTGGTTGAAAGCCTGTTTAAGAAAGTAGCTAACCCCCAGACCCTCTCCCTTCCCCCACCCTGGCTGGAGGTCCACTCTCTG